TGTACTGTATATATTTATTATGTATATATAAATACACAAACATACAGTATATATTTTGAAAATATTTACGTGTATATATTTATATTCTTATATTTTATATTATATATAAATATATTTAATATATAAACATATTTTTCTTAAATATAGACATGCATGTGTGTGTGTATATATATATGTATATACGGTACTTAATAAATATACACAGTATACACACATATTACGTAAACAAAAACTTTTATTTTGGATGCAATTAATCGCGATTAATCGTTTGACAGCACTAATATATATATGCATTTTATTTGCATACTACAATGTACTGTACATTCTAGTAAAAAAAAGGCCTTAAAGACATAGAGCTTCAAATTTGCATACTGGATTTTGAGGCTGATGACATTTTTCAAAGAATTTGAAAGGAAAATAAGAGGTTACTTTGTGGTGAAGCAAGCAAATCTCAACAGGACTTGTTGGTGTAGTTTCAGGTAGTTTGGCTCTGTTCTGTTCCTAACCACAATAATGATTTACAACATCACCCAGCAACAATTCCCAAAACACTGTTCTCCGTTAATACATCAACAAAGACACGGAAATGGAGATGGAGACATCCTACAAGCTCATCTCATAATTAAAAACACCACAACACATGTAGCAGCATGTAGCAATCAGACACGGTAGGATCTCACCTGCACACAGATGCTTCTCAGTCAACCACACAGTAAGCGTCAGAAGAAATCTGCTGTAATGCAGCGACCTGCTTCGGTTTATCTGCTGCTGCTGGTGTGTTTAGATCAAGGTCACTTACAGGACACTCCTCCAGAGACGTGGACAAACGCATGCCCTGTCCTACATACACCCTCGACTCTTAATAAAACACCCACACAAACCCGCGTCAGTCTTACCGTGTCTGTAGAGGCTTTGCGCTCCCAGGAAGAGCTGCCACCATGAGACGAGCATGGCAGGCTGTTATAGTCGGCTATCCGGGGCACTGCAGTGAATTACAGCGAGTACAGTGCCATCTCAGTGCCAGCCTCCGTCTGCAGACAGACCGCTAATGAGGTTACTGTAATCCGCTGCCATCTGCTGATCCTGCGCGCTAAAACCTAAAACACGACGAGGTTCGAACGGGATTCAAACAAAACAGAGCAATTGCTATATGTGACCCTGGACCACAAAACCAGTCATGAGGGTCAATTTTTTGAAATTGAGATTTATGCATCATCTGAAAGCTGAATAAATAAGATTTCCATTGATGTATGGTTTGTTAGGTTAGGACAATATTTGGCTGAGATACAACTATTTGAAAATGTGGAATCTGAGTGCAAGAAAAAAAAACATCAAAATATTGAGAAAATCGCCTTTAAAGTTGTCCAAATGAAGTTCTTAGCAATGCATATTGCTAATCAAAAATTAAGTTTTGAGGTATTGTAGGAAATTGACAAAATATCTTCATGGATCATGATCTTTACTTAATATCCTAATGATTTTTGGCAAAACAAAAAAAACAACAAACAAAAAAATCGATAACTTTGCCCCATACAGGTTTGTTTTTTTTGTTTTTTTTGGCTATTGCTAAATATACCCGTGCTACTTATGACTGGTTTTGTGCTCCAGGGTCACATTTTAGCAATTAGCAATAATTAGGGTGTTTTTTGGTCAGGCGTACAGGTAATTATCATGACATGTAGGCCTACTGATTGCAAGGGCTAGATTTTTTTCTTTTTTAAATCAAATGTAAATTAATGTCCCAGTCACATTTTCTTGGTTAAATAAACATTACTTACACTATCAGAAAAAGAAAAAAAAAGGTAACACTTTATTTTAAGGTGTCCTTGTTACACGTTACATGAACTATTATAATAACAATTAATTATGCATAATTGCATGCAAGCAACCCTATCCTAACCCTAACCATATCGTTAGTAGCCTACATGTTATTAATTAATATTACTCAGTACTTAAATGTATAATTAGGCTACACTGTAACAAGGACACCTTAAAATAAAGTGTAACCAAAAAAAAGTAGATTTTATATTTTTAGAACAATGTAATCAATATTAACTCAACTATAAGCCATGTATTAATCTCATTAAGTTAGTGTTTTTAAGCATTTTACATTTATTCCAAAATAATAACTCAAGGCATTAACAATTTAAACAATATTTTATTACTATGTTCCACTATTCTTTTTATTTTTTACTTTTTACTATTTTTGAATTTTTCGGGTTATCAGCACGGATCGCGAATCTTTTGATTAGATTTTTTTAATAAACTGTACAAAACATCAAACCATTAAGGCAGTACAGTTATAAAAACAAAACAAAACAAAGAGAAAGAAAGAAAGAAAACACAAATACAAATCCCTTAATAAAATTAACCATGGTTTTATTATAGTAAAAGTGTAGTGTTTTTTTTTTTTTTGTAGAACCACAGTTTTACTATAATGGTTAATTTGTGGTTACCATGGTTTAACTATTAACAATGTTCTTAATATATTCATAACATATAGGATAAATATAGAGATGCAGTTTTCACTGCTTTAAGATTAACAGAACTTTGGATAGTTTCCATGTACTTGTCTAGATCAACTTTAAAAAAAAAAAAAAAGGAGATTTCTGTTTGTGAATGTAAAATGTAGCTAGCAGGAAACACAAACCAAGTTATATTTTCCTATATTCTCTTTCGAGTATTCAAACAATCCAAAGAAAACAACTTATATATTAAGTGTTTTACATACATTACCATTATCGGTATGAATTGGGCAATGCAGTGGACATTTTGTTGAAAAATGTGTGTGTGTGTGTGTGTGTGTGTGTGTGTATATACTAGTCAACATTTGAAGTCGATCAAAACTTTATCAAAGTTCTCAAAACGCATTCTTGTCTTAGGTTACATGTTAGTTACAACTAGTTACATGTAACGGCGTTACGTAATTTAATTACAAAATACTGTCTCAGTTTGTTCTGTTTCTTCATGTCACTCCAGACAGACTGATGATGATCAGATCAGATCTCTGTGTGCAGCACTGGCTGCTGTCAGACAAAAATCTCACTGGATTATTACAATTAATGAAAACTGATGTTTCCTACTGACACACTACACTACAGCAAAAGATAGAAATAACTGACTTAAACCCATTTTTTAGCTGCTGAAAATACTAGTGTTCTAATCATTTTCACCACCAGTTTGTTTGTGTGTATATATATATAAAACTCTACAAAACAGTGCTTCTGATGTTAGCCTTTACTACAATGCTAACATAATACATTGAATATCAGTGACATATGACTAGCAATATTTCCCTTTGTGTTAAAAATCTTCCAAGAGTGTGTCAATAACTCTGAGAAGTATTTGTAATTTCTGACTCAAAGTGTTTGAGTCTGACTTAAAATGTTTTTTTTTAACAGCATTAAACTGTCGATTATAAATACATTTATACATGTATTAAAAAACACTACTGACCACCATATTTAAAGTAGAAGATATTTCCTGTAAATGTGCGAGACGTGAAGTACAATAACAAAATACCAGTCTGCAGCATCTGCATAATTAATTTTATATATATATATATATATTTATAAAATTTTTCTGTAATGCCATTTCCTTTTACACCACTGCAGAGATTTCAAATGTTAACAAAAAGCAGTAAATATGCAACCACCAAAAATATGGATTCTGAATACAAGTTCAGATGAACCTTTGAATACTTGACAGTGTTTGTTTGTGTTTAATGCCATTCCAGCTTCTGTGATTATTTTCATGGCGAGAAATATTATGGCTGAATTATATCACGTTTTTATAATTTATTTTTGCTAAATACTCCAAAACTGTATTTGGCTTATCTCTGTTAAAAATCTCTTCAAAAGAGTTACCCGAATAAAAAAAAATGTTCTCAATGAGTTGAAACCAGCACAATCTAATAAAACATGCTTAATGGATAAAGGGATTCGGCAGAAAGAACATGTTGGAGGATCTTGAAAACATGACAGAGAAAGACCAGTTGTTGAGCATAATATCCAGGTAGCTCTTTATTGTACTACTGACAAAACAAATGTCAGAGGTTAAAACCAGACGGCATTCATTCGTGTCACAAACCTTTTTATATAGACTATTTAGACATGGAACTCCTCTGTGATTGGAGAGCGTCTCCCCTTCACCGTCATGATGTCAGAGGTGGGCGGGGCTCAGGACAGACTTAAATATAGATAACAGGAGGTGTGCGGCTGTGTCGAGGGGGAAGTGGGCGATCGCTCGATCTCGCTGGCTGTTTACTCGGTGAGGCCGAGCTTCTTTTTGAGGGACTCGGGCATCTCAGGGGGAGGAGGGCGGGGCAGGCGGAAGTAGACCTTCACGGAGTCGTAGATGAACCACTGCAGGGCCGTCAGGGTACCGATCATGATGATACGGGCGACGAGTCCCTTCCACACACCTGAAAAACACGACACGCAGTCCATTTTTAAAAAACTGTTTGCAAGAGTTGATCTGCATATTCATTCGGGGCAATTTGAACGGTCTAAAACTCTTATGATAGTTTGTCTGCTCTCCAGCTGTTCTGCCCTGGCGTTTTCCTGTGAAGGATCAGGGCAGAGAGGATTCTGGGTGAGCAGGTAGACTGATCTCACACGCCAATGACTCAAGCACCTCCAACTGTACAGCCGTAAAGCTGCTGGGAGCCTCCGGCCCAATCCTGCTGCTCCCAGACAGAGAACACAACAGAACCGGAGCGGAGAAACTCCCCAGAGGTGGATCTAAGGAGCGTGTTGTGAAAGAAAGACTGTAAAGCACAATGAAAAGTCTCACCCTTCGGTCCAAGCCTCTTGAGCACTTGCGTGGCTGTACTTCCCTTCTCTTTGTTCAACACGGACACGACGGAGTCAGCAGGGTGAGACACAATGGCGCAGAACACACCAGCTACAAGACACAAGGAAACATGCATCACAACTCTGATTTAAAGAACCCAGATCAGTGCTGACAAACGTTAAATTTACACAAATTTCTAAGAAAATAAATTTCAAAAATAATAATTACATTTTTTACGTGGTGATATAAATGATTGATAAATAAAATAAAAACGTTTTAAATTAAATAAATTGTAATTATTATATTAATGATATAGAATCAATAATATACATTTAAAAATAATATAATATAAAATGTATTATAGAAATAACAATTTATGTAAAACATGTCATATAAATCAATAATATCTGTACAATTATATTAGTCTTAAGTCAAATCAATATAATTCTTAATAATAATAGTAAATCAAATAAAATATCAAATCATTAAAACTTTAATTTTACATTAAAATAAAACCTTAAAGTGGTGATAATTATTAATAATAATATATTATAATAGTAATTATCATAATATTCATTTTTTTATTTAATGTAAATCCTTTTTTTATTTTGTCATTTGTTATAAATCATTTTTAAATATTTAGTTTATTTTGTATTTTATTTTTGATTATTATTATTATTATTATAAGAAGAATAACATTGATTTGATTAATATTACTATACTGTTTTACATTATTTTTTATTATTGATTCAATATTATTATTATTATTATTATAAGTAAGATCTGATTTAAATAAGCAAAGATAATCCTCAGAGATCAGGCTCACCGATGTAACCAGCGATGAAGGTGACGACCAGCTGTTCGGGTTTGGAGCATTCGCTGCGGGGTTTGGGCACCACATACTTGTAGAGCAACTCAACGGTGCGCTCGAAGCAGGCGAACTTCATCATGGTGTAGGGGATCTGTCTCATCCACAGAGGAACC